ACGAAACCAAAATTTGGGGTGCTTGCAGATCTATCAAAAACGGAACTCCTGGTGTATCAAAAACGAAACTTTTGCATATCTGGGACGTGGAATCGCTTGCACGTGCAGAATATGGAGGGTGTGCACTTAGCTCTAAGTCCCAAGCTTGGGACCGTGCTACAGTGTGCATATAGGGAGGGGGTGCACTTATGGAGGGTGCACTTATGGAGGTGCAACTGTATTATTTTAAGAATCTCTTCAAAATACATCTATGCCAGTCAATGTTTCCATCTGAACAACACAATAATATAAATAATGTTTTGCTAGTCATTAATTGTGTCAGATTTGTAATACTTGGGCACAGTGAACCAGAATTATCAATTTATTGCTGTTCTTCTCAAACAGTATATGAAGAGTTATGGAAATTATTGATAGTTAACAATAATAAAGAAACAGATATTTGCTTAATGTTTCTAACCTTATTATTATTTCTTTCTTAGTGCTTACAGGGCTGATGATAGGATAGAGTATCTCTGGAGCCAGACCAAGTGAGGCAGTGACAATTGACTGTCCCATCTATTGCACCTTTGTTCCAGCCCTGCATAGCATATCATGAATTCTAAATCTCTGAAAGTAAGGGTTGAGTTTAAAGAATTTGTTTCAGATATCATCTACTGCTTCTTCAAGCTTGATTTTTCCTCACCCTTTGGGGATTAGAACGTTTTCAGCCATAACAGGAAGGCTGGCCCATTTTTGAAGAATATTAATATTAATATGTTGTGGTGCCTCCTAGTATTAGATATCAAATACTAGTGTATATTAGTGCACAGTCAGTCAATGTAATCAAGCATGATGTGTACTTATAGATAAAAACGTTTTATTCTGATCCCAGTGAATGGATAGTAATAGCTTGACAACTTGTCCACATACTAGAATAAGAATGAGAAAACATATGTTAAACAAGGCCATACAAAATAAAAGTTAAACACTCAATAAACAAATGGGTGGATAACCGGATAGATAAACTGCCTCTTCTTATTCTTCCCAACTGACTGATCTGATATTCTAATTTCATGTTACTTGCTCTTTTGTAAGATATAAGCATCATCCAACCTATATATATAAACGGTCGAATGATGATCGCCCTTCACAAGACGAACATCCAAAGAAGCATGATAGTAAAGATCTCTCAACAGGATCGACCTTTGAATTACTTCCAAAGCAGCAGACTTCCACAACGCCCAAGTTACCCGACTCTCACCCCGTTCTTCATCAACGCCAATTGCATCTAACCTGAACGCTTTCAAATCGATAGATTGTCGGGACTATTTTACTTTGTCATGCGATTACGATATCTACAAACTAAGGCATACATTTACTTGGATTGCGCTAAGTATTCGCTGCTAGTTTTTTCGCCAGTGAGTTTAAAGGAAGACAAATGGGCCGAAGCAGGATGTTTGAAACTGAATGTACTTTGTAATAATGAAAAAAAAAGTTCAATTTCTCGCTGGATGCATTGCGATGTCTGACTTTACTTTGCTGTATGTGCCGGATATTATACAGCTGCCAATTTCTAAAAGAGACAGAAACGTTAACCTCCTATGGAAACAGTCGATACGACATTATAACTTACTAAGCTTGTATCTCTAACTCTGTATAATATTGAAGTGCCGTAACAAATGTTCCCCCTAAGAACGTCTTTTGTTTTTTCATCTATTGAGATTCATTCCTGAGCTCACCAAAGCTCTCCATACTTGACCAGGCCCCATAACTACAACTTCATCGTTACTTGTCATGAGCAAAATTATGACCAACATATTTTGCATCAACTGTAAGACATTAAGTACCAATCCACAGGTAGTTTAAGTGAGAAAGGATGTATTCTTTATGATCTGGATGCATTTTAAATTGATTATTCAAGTGTTCAAATATATTAAAATGACTTTACTATTACGCATAAAAAAGACAAACCCAATTCATCGCACGTACAGCTGCATTAAAAACCATCCTCATGCTGTGAATGCAGTTCTTGACAGCGAATACCTACCCATTGATAGATTCAACTGAGGATCAGGAAGCGTCAACCGTCAAACTTTACATGGGCCTTCAAATATGTCAAAATTGGACAATGTTAATGATAAGAATGCTATTGAAACAACTGTCAAATTAATAAAGATCATTGTATGATAACCGTTTCTGATATTATTATGGTTATAAACACGTGAGTTTTGACAAAATGTAGTATAGTTTTATCATCTGTGCACAATATTCGGACATGCCACTGCGATTGTAATAGAAACCCCAAATCTAGCTTCCCAAAATGTGAACATACGAGTATCAGATGGTTTGCTTTCTAACAATATTCGCGGTGTTGGGGTGGAGGGGGTCTTTAAATTTTTTGGTTCCCCCACTAGTTAATCCCAAGTCATCACCGCACGCATTTATTCTTTGCAAAAATAGGCACGGACACAAACCCTCAAGAAAATCCTTATTATAAGTGTCACCGAACATTTACTTTTTAATATCTACGTAAAAGAAAATATCATAGTGCTTAAAAAAAAGGTTAGTGCGATTGTATAAAACAACCTCTCTGTAAAGTCGAAACAAATATTACTAGGCCTATAAAATATAACTGAAAGGGAGTGGGCATAAATTTTTTTTTTTTAAAAAAAAAGGTTATTCCTTCTGCCCTGCTTTCCATTCCTTCCTTTAGTCCCTAAAGTATTGTCCCAGAGAATCAAAGAGGGAAAGCTCGAAAGGGGTAGGCGAAAGGTATGTTTATATAAAGGATATCTTTATTGTAAAAGCGAAACCGCTTGCATAATTCCAAGAAATATACTGTCTTGGAAACAAATAAAGAAAAGTCTTGTTTCATTCCCTTCATCACAGGAGGCTTGAATAATGATAAAAAAAAAGTCTTCGATCTGATTACATCAGATACGACAACTTTTGAAAGTGTGAATAAAAATATCTGCCAAGCCCCGAGTGAATAAGGAAATAGATTAACTGTATTAGAGCTATATAAAAGTTCGCGCATGCGAATTATTGCAAAGAAATAAATGCAAAATTGCCTGAGACTTTACCGTAGAGTAAAAACCATAAGGAGGCACGCCTAAACCCCAACACCCCAAATATCCTCAGCAAAATTTATGTAAACGGATTAGGGATGATGGGGAAAGGAATTGCCCTGCAATTCATCATATAATACAAGTGCCATTACAGGCGGATGAAGAAATTAAAGAAAGAATTATTGGGGTTACCAATTTATTTACTTTTGTACGAAGGGCGAAAACGGTTCGTTTCGTTTGAAGGGGAAGGGAATAATTACAAATATGTATTCAAGGCAAAACGAACCGGTCGTTTCCCTTCTTTTTAGGTAATTTGGTGATGAACCAATAAACAGAAGAAGAGTTTAAAAACTCAAACGTCAAGAACAAGACGTCCTTCTGACCCCGTTGCAAAATTTTTACAATATTCGACCAAAAGAGGGCAAAAGAGTTTGATGAACCAGTCATCAAGCGAATACTGTGAATATTAACCCAAGAAAGAACTACAGAAGCTAATTTAAACCCAAGAAAAAAATTTTTTTGCTCCCATTGGTAATTGCTAACTATATAAAAAACGCCAAAGAAAAAAAATATATAAACAAAAAAGTCCAGTCCTTTTTCCACCCGAAAACTATTTATAACAAGAGACTCACGCAAGCCTATAATCCCTCGCTTGGATACTCCAAAGAGCTCCTACAACCCGTCAAACCTTAGACAATAATCCCATTGCCCGCTGACGTTTCCATGTAATTGTTAGGGAAATTGAATACAGAGTAATTGGTTGGTTCTGGGGCGAGAACAGTGTATCCATCAGGTACGCAGGTAGTAACTGCCATGTCAGGAGTTTCGAAATTAAAGCATTCAGAGACGACATTATCGTCAAAACCGAGATCAGACCCACTAGTGCCATCGTCAGAAGGTGGGGAAGAATTAGTCATTCCTCTTTCATGTGTCTTTTTATGCTGAGCAAGATTATCGGATCTTGAAAACCTCTTTCCGCATATCGAGCAAGAGTATGGTCGTTCCATAGTGTGAGTGCGAACGTGACGCTTGAGATGCTCTAGCCGCTTGAACAACCGGCCGCAAGTCGGAAGTGGACAGGTGTATGTTTTAACTGGATAAGGTGCGGTGTTGGATCTCATTGGAGGAGAATTTTGACTTACATTTACGCCAGCGCAGGAACTTGCGCGGCGTCTGCGTTGTTTGTACGTTGGTGAACCCTCAAAGATTGAAAACATACCGAAAAGATTAGCAGCAGCGGATGCAGTAGAGTTATTGTTGTAGTTTGATGAAGGAACAATTGCTTGTGACACATTTGAAAGCTGAGAGTCAGCTTGATCCTGAGTCGAACGACATCCTTCGACATATTGTTCATCAATGCCAGAAGGATTCCATGTAGTGGCTGTTACAATGTAATCTGAAGTGGGAGCAATCTCGAAAGAGGTCTTCTGAAGCTCGTCCATGGAGCAGTAACCGAGATCAGGTGACGAAAACAAATGTCCTTTACCGAGAGCGTGATCGCACTGAGGTATTGATTGGAATAAAGCGAATGTGCTGAGGGGAGACTGTGTAGATGCTACATTTCCAACTGAATCCTCACCAAGAGAGTATAAGACATTAACCTGTTCATCAGACTTTATTTGAGGTCCCATCATAGCTGGAGCTAGTGCTTGAATGGCGGGTTCATATACCAAACTTGGTAATTGCGGGGATGATGGGGCGGATGACTCGCGCGACATACCCTTTGTAAACTGGTCGTAAAGTGACTGTGTCGAATCAAAAGAGAAGGAGATTGCAGGTTCTGCAACAGCAACGGTCGTTGGCTCGATGCCTATCTTCTCCCTTTTCAAATCCCGTTCTAATGCGTCCAGGAACAGACGGTCGTGAGGCACGGAAAACCAATAGAAAACTTTCTGTTTCTTCTGGGTGCGTATGCAGTTATTCTTATATAGCATCTCGAGAAACTCAGATTTTGGTTCTTCCAGAGAAGCATCCAAGCCAGGCTTTAAATTGCGAAGGTCACTGAAAACACCTTCTTCGAATTTCTTGATATTCTTGACAGGTCGACCGAAGGCTTGAAAGCGGAAGACTAGGCTGCGAACGATATCAGTCCCGGTTATGTGAAATAGGCTATTCCATAATACGCAAGAAATGTGTTCGCCAGTGGGAAGAAGATAGCGACGAATGTTTGTGTCTGAATCCCAGTTTCCAGGAGCTGTAGCCAGCCAGTATTTGAGTTCGTCTACCTGTTCCATGGGCGTCTTATTAATAGGTGCACTACCGTCAACGGCATTCATTTTTATTTACTTTTGACTTTTGGAATTGGTGAATGAGAGGTTATAATAGCGAAGGGCACTTTTTTTTTTGCTTTATAATAATTGTATATTTTTTATGAAGCCAATATATTGTATCAAACAACTATATTGGGTTTATATGAAGGATAACTAAGGTGCGCGGCTCCTTGGAGATCCTAAGTGAATTGCTTTGCAAGAAGGTTTAAGAGTGAAAGAGGTTCTGTCTATAATATTATGGCGTCTAGCACTTGGGTTCTAGCAATAAACCAGAGACAAAAAAATTTTGCAACGAAGGGGGCTGGGTGGTTTATTAAGAATTGGGTTCATGAGATTTTACTCATTAGGGGGCTTATACGTTATTTGTATTTTTCCAATAGGTGTATGCAAAATATTTTTGGTAAACTCAACTCATTATTGTATTGTTCCACCTATCACAATATATGCGTTGTAATAGTTGAATAGTTATTTATACGGTATCTTATCTAACTAAGGGGGAAGGGGGGGAACGGTTGAACAAGATTGTAAACCTGTCGAAGCCTTTTTGTATGCTGAAAATTTAGTAAATATAAATGATAGTGAGGCGTGCATATATATGCAGCTTGATAAGAACGGTAGTAATGGAAAAATTGTAGCTGGCATGGTATATTGACGTTTGTAATATCAGAGGCGATATATTAACTCAAAATCAGCTTTGCGTCTGCAGTGATACAAATTAACTACTTTAGTAATAATAATACTAATAAGATTAATAATAATCATAAATAACAGAGTATTATATGAATAAAGACCAGATGCACATAATATCAATAATAGTACAGCATAAGCCAACAATGTTTACTCATCTCGAATATTGTTTATTTATATATTTATACACCGACAATACATGTCCATGAAAATATTATATTGCTTGTTGACAATCCTACTGAAATGTTGCATTCCCAAGTGATTATGTGTTTGTATAAATAATACCATCCACATAGACACAACGTCCGCTTCTTTATTAACCAATGTCATTTGCTTATTTACAAAATGGGTGATTCGCGGGCCTTTATTAAACATTACAATTTCGGTTCGGAAACAAGAGTCACAAGAACAAGTCAAAAAACCAAGAGTTTTAAAAAGATGCATTTGGCCATCATCTCTTCACATTCTGTTAATCATATCGGGTTATGCATCCAAATATAAGCAGCATTTTTATAATCGGTCAACGGAATCTCACTTCCACATTCCCGTCATCGGGTCCCGCTTTCATAACGACAACTTCGACAATCATTCCTTATCTCATACTAAATCTAAAAGAGAAACTCGAATATTCCAATTGTGGCAAGTACGACGGAACCGCTATGTACGGAAGTGATGAGTCATTTGTTTATGGTCTTACAAAATTCCATACTGGAAAACCCCCCCCCAATTCTCCTGATGATGCAAGTAAATAATATCTATTTTTTCATCAACAAAAAAGATATTTCAGTGGTAGCACGGACCTCTCAGTAAGGAGAGAGAAAGGTGCAAAGCAACGGATAACAGAATATTTATTTTAATGCTTGACACAACCAACTCATTGTCATTATATACAACACTCTCTGAACCATGGGAAGAATCGCTATGACGATGAAAGCATAATGGGTGGCTTTTATGACTTTGTTATGTAATGCATTGCACAGCATAAAACTTTGTTTTGCATATTAAAGAAACAAAAGATGTATTAACGAACACAACTGGGTGGCTATTGGCCAAAATAACAAAGAGGTATAGTGCACGGATCAGAAGGAAAGTTATGAATCCAACGGAAGGATTCTTAACATACCTTTTCGTTGTGCATCTGGGATATACTATAATTTCATTGTTTTGGTCATTCATGCCAATGAAGTGCGACATGACTAATTAATTTTGTGATAATTACTTCATTATGTTCTGATTGCTAATGCTCAGGTGGTTCGATTGATATGTCAGCCGCATATGTCCTATTCCGACGAGTAAACACTTTTCCGGTTCGAATTCTGTCCGAATTCCCTCCAAGATTACAATGTAACGTTGCGTTGTTATTACTATTATTTTATTTTTGTTATTCTATTATACATTGATTCCGTCAAAACTTGGTTTGCTTATCATACTCTTCACAACCCTGGATAAACAGTTTTCCTTACTTGAGCGAACCCGAAAAGCTTCTAATACAGACCTTCTAGCTTCCGATGGCAGTATCTCATGATAACTCGCTGTTTATTGGATATACACTTATCCAGAATATGTAGTGTCATGGTTTTCATGCATGTCTTAAATGATCCCTTTTCTTTATTTCGTGTCTTGCAACAGCGCTAGCCAATTTACGACGACGTCAGGTCGTGGACCTTTTCCTCTTACTGAGCAGCGAGATAAGGTGAAATTTTTCAAGATTGGTACTATTTTCCCACGCAATATTTCAATGTGATTGATCTCCCTCGTTTCAAATCGTATGCCACGCGATTCCTTATAAGACAATCAAATATAGAAAAACTTTAAAATCACTCGGAAACCAATAATTGCGGAGAACGTTCCGAGACCATACTATGTAGATAACGAAGATCGATGCCACGTTTTACCTTTTCATCCCAACAAAAATATGGCAATTAAATTGAAATACAGGGGGTAGACAAAATTTTCTGGTCTTTCGATAAATGGGCGCAAAATTCTAGTGACGCGCACTGTAAGTCTGTATTTATAAATCTAGAATTTGTCTACTCTAACGAAAGCTGTTTCGTTTGCCACACAACTATTTCTTTAATATTAACTGATGCATAACAAGTTGCAACGGAACTCTAATAATTTGATCAAACTGGAGAAGCCTGATACTATTGAGCGTGAAATTAGAAGACATTTTCAATTAAGAGTTGCTGGTGAATATTCTGTTATTCCTTGCCTTAACTTTCCACAATTTTTGGGCTTTTCGTCTCCCTAAACGCTATCTCTTATGATACTTCAAAAATTCTTAACTAAATAACCAGTCCAGTTCATAGTTTTGGGGATAGCTATCTAACGGTGCATTCTTTAGCAATGGTCGCAACTTTTGTTAATTGGAAAAAGAGAGAATAACGTATTATAACAAAAAGACCAAGTCAAGCATGCTTTAATTGCAAAGTCTTATGCTGTTAGCAAACAAAAAATACCTGTTACATTGTATATACCATTTCTCAATCTCAACTGTGTATCGACTTAATCATCATAACTCAACTTCTTACTAAAGAGTATTTTGGCTTCAAACGGTAATTCAAGCGACAAGAAACAATGTTATCTCAAATATCATTATCATTTTTGATACAGATAATTAACGGTTTTAACTGATGGGGATTGTTGGGTTGAATACTAGATTATAACCTAAGACTATGTAGAATTCAGCCAGACTCGTTTTCCATCACGCGTCTGATTTTGTATCGCATAAATTTGCAGAGTAATTCAATTGCTGGAAAAAAAAAAGGAAAAACAGAGCTGATTTCATCGTATAAAGTATTTGTCTTTGTGTCATAAAGCATGCTTTCCATAATATTAGAGAGGGTGATAGGTCAGAGGTTGGTAATGACAGTTTGGTCTTGGTATGAGGATATAGATAGTGTGTGTTGCATTCCAAGTAGGCAGAGGTGTATGGCCCTCTGCTATAATAATAAGGTTGTAGACCTTTGCCAGAATGGGGGCCAAAAGGAGTTTGAAGTGTTTGTAGAAGGCATACAGTGTGTAATGAAAATAATTGCCTTCTGAAAAAATGGTATAGTAATAGCACAACAACCACATAAGATAATTAAACAATTCCAAATTTCCCAGAAAGCTTATCACATACTTTATTACTCATAAAACTTTCAGTACAAAATTCTATCACCATTTTTCTGCAAAACAAGTCTACACCTATTTTCCATTGATAACACTAAATTATTCACTGTCTCATCAGAGATCGCATCCCACTCCTCAATCATAAACTTTTTCAATTCTTCAATATTTTTGGGCATACGTTTTTCATCATTGTTTTTTACTTTCTGCCACATGTTTTCAATGGGATTCAAGTCTGGACTATTTGATGGCCAGTCTATGACCCGAATCCATTTTCAGCAATGAATTCCTTAGCAACATGTGATTGTTGCAAATGCCAGTTCCTGCCATACATTTTTTGGGCAGCTGGCAGGAGCTGGGTCTGCAATATTAATATTATTAATGCTGATGCTCTAACTCATTGTAATGATTGTGGTCGAGTTATGAGAAATGGAGTAGACTGTTTCTTCTGTTTAATATTAAGAAAGGATGAAACAAATAAAACTCCTCCAACAATAACAGAAGTAATGGCACAGAGTTATGTGGGTAAATTGGAACAGCAAAATAAAGACTTGAAACAGCAATTAACTAATGCTAAGGAAGAAATTAGTTCTCACTTGGAAGCCTTAGAAGTTTTCAAAGGATTGACATAATGGGCAAAAACGAGAATTATTATTATTAGACAAAATTCAAAGACTTGATATTGAAATGAGGTTGAATTTTTAAGAAAGCAACAAACCCAACACATTGCTCAAATTGAAGTAAAGAGACTAAAAAATGGCCTTGATTGAAATTAAGAAAGTAATTTAAATTGGTAAATTTACTAAGTATCTAAATATTCCTCAAAAATTTTGGTATCATTGATTTTAAAAACATAAGGCGCAATTTTTTCTCCTTGAGCTTTTTTAGAATGCTTCTAACAGATGGTGGATTTAATGTAACTAGTTTCATATTAATATTTTTTATATAGAGGTAATCCCATATTAATTCTGTTATCATTTATCTTCACATACACATTCTGGTGTGACAAAGTGAAAATTAAAATTAACCAGTCCATAAGTTATGAATGGGCACCATTATTACTTTTCAAAACGTCATCAGTCATGCTGGTTAATTTTACAGCCACGTCATAAAATCAGCCTCACATTTATAACAGAATGTTCACTTTGTCTGGTTTTGTTGCAGTCTGCCCCAATTTACCTATTTTATAGAAAACGTTAAGTTCGTTTATGCGACTTAAATTTATATTTATTTGAAACTGTTATCAGACTGTCCGCTTTTGGTTGAGAAATCGAATTCTGATATATGGCACTCTTCAGTAATCACCGACCACCTTCTAAATTACAATTAAACACGATAACTAATACCAATATTAATATTATACCCTTCGATTTGTAAGAACTTTTTCTTTCGCGCAATTAGGTATACGGTAATAGTAAATACTAATTATTGACATGCTATAGAAATATTTCGTTCAATCGTGACATGTAATACGTTGACGCGCTCTCATGCGCACGTCACCAACTATCTTCATAAACTTGACAATATACTTTTTTCTAACTTCGCTTCGATATGTTGCGATCAGGGTTTTTATGATCAACTTGCTCATGTTCCAAAGCGATTCTTCTCAAATTTTGCTTCCTAGCTTCATTAGTAGCTATTACAATTTCCTTCATCTTATTTTTTTCTTTTCTCCGCTGCCATCGACAGAGTTCCCTACCAGTACATTCAAATCAGTTCAACCATTACGCCGATTAACAGTTTGCGTATATCAATATCTTCACAAAAAGAAAAGCATCATTACCATGCTCCAACCCCAATTAGACAGCATGACCCGAGAGCCGTCTGCGTCGCGAATGCAATATTACCTTCGCAGTTTGGTTAGCAGGATATTATACACAGTAATACAAGTAATGTGTAGTTCAGCAGTTGGACACTCACCTGAGTGGAGTAAACGCATTATACCGAAAAGTGCTCCGCCGCCTATCCCCGAGAGAAGGCTGTTGCGTGCACACGGAATTTGTCCAGTGTTTTTAAAGTCGTCTATCGATAGTTTCTGTAAAAACATAGAAATGTAAGTAAGAGCATTACGTTTGGATAAGCAAACTAGTGAACGCACTTTTAATACAGTCCAGAAAGGACTTTGTGTCAATCCAGGATCATGATGTTCGTTAGGTATAGTATTTGCAGTTGTCGATTCTGCGTTCTGTGGCATGCGGAAGGATTAACCCAAAAAATTCCGTAACACGGTGAAATGAACAATTGACTTTCTAGCCAATCAATTTTCATTATACGCCACGGACTTATAATCCTAGGTAGAATTTGTAATTAGAATTCTCTGCGTAAGGACTTGTAAGTGAAGTAATAATTTCACTACCCGGAGAATTTATTTGCATATTCAAATAGCGCACACAATATTGCGAAAGTCGTAGTTTCAGATCGACAATATGCAAGAGTGGGACTTTCATAAATGCTATGACAGAATTTCGAACCATCCGCCATAACTTACGAAATGTATTTTAACAATTACTTACGCGTAGTCTGAGAATTTCCCTCAAATAAACTGTTATTCGGAATAGCTATGGTTTTAATTTAATATTAAGCCTTTAAATTTGTGTACGATTTAAACAGTGTCTGATTTGACAGCGTCCCTACCATTTCTGCATTTACTTGAACTTTCTCAACAAAAGCTAGGAGGATAAAATAATATTAATGTTATAACCCGTTTCAGGATTCCGAAATGAGTCAACAAATTTTTGACCCATTCTCAAATCCCGAAACGGGTCATAACATTAATATGAAAACTTACTCTACTAACAAATAATTAACGGGTTTAAAATCATGCACTTGACTTGTTAACGCTAATACAATTCCAAACTTCTTGCCGCTCAGCTTTCTTTTAAAAAGTTACATAATACTTTAAATTGACTGAACTATTTCCTCAAATATCTCCTTCTACATTTATACATTTTTGTAATTGATTCAACAAAATTTCAAAAGACTTATAACATTCCTTTTGTGAGATACTACCTGATCCGTTTCTCAATCAAGGATCATCTTCCAAGCAGTCTCCATCATCGTTGAAAATTTTGACTAACCGTTAAATGTATAATGTCAGTGCTTTGCTTTATGTCTACAAAGGTTCACTAATATTACTAAGCTTTCATGGCGTCTTCTTATTTCAATAAATATGCATCGGTTTACGACAAACAAACCTTGAATAATATATCTCAACAATTATCTATTTAGAACAAACCAATTTATTGGTTGGGAAAACAGAACTTGGACGTTTATTTGGTTAGTATATTACTAGCCCGTAAGTGCGACAAAACTATCCACGTATATGTACCTTTTTATTGCGTAGACATCATAGGTGTTCCCATTTGTGTCGCCCCTGATTGGCTGATCAAAAGTCACATGATTGGAACCATTTGCAACGTCCGTTTGTTCCCCACACAAAGTTTTATTAAAAAGTGTAAAGAAATAAAGGTTGTGTTGCGAGAAAGAACTCTAATGGCTTTCGAAAATATGTTTTGTTTTTTTGCAAAGAATAACACTTGAAGTCTTGGAATGAAAAGAAAAACGACGGAATAATATGTGTGATGGAGGAACATTGATTTTGGTTGGCTGATACAAATTTGGAACGGAACAGGGCTAGCATATATCAATAGAAATAATTTAAGTTACCTAGTCACTTAATTATATTCTGTTATCGTTATGTAGATAAAAAAACAAGTAATGAAGAAGATTATACATCTCCGGACAAAAGTATCAGACACTCTATTTTATCTAATAATTAAAGCAGAAAATTTTATACTTTATGCTTAAATAGTATTGTTTGTAGGCTATTTTTTTTTGTTTTTTTTTTTTTTTTTTGCAAACATCAGACAATTTTAAGTCTTTGGCGTAAAACGTCTGAGTTGAACATGGTCAAATTTTCATCTCCAAATTTGTCCACTTCCAAAGCTCTAAAAACAGCTATTATCAGGTCAATTCCGAGATGGGTATCCAAAATTTTTAAACTATAATTTTTAACAAATGTTAAAACGGTTATTAAGTATAACGCCAGTAAATTAACTGAAGAGATTAAAAACAATTTAACGAAAAACTGAACTTAACAAACTTATACAAAACATCTAGTAGACTATTGTATTGAAAAAAAAAATTTGTTTATTAGAAAATAGAAAAACCCCATTTGGAAACAAATTACAAACCCAACAGCAATTGCAAGAATGAAGCAAAATGTTGAAAAGTGTTTTAACGAGTTTACTTGAAAATATATCTCGAAAAATTGAAACATGGAAAGAATGGCTGATCAACAAACTACTAGTTATATTAAAATATAAATTTACAATCGTTGAACTAAATCTGATCTTAATTCTGTACAATTAATAAAATAAGAGTAACCCGATACTTTGGTCCAGGTAGCGTAATGGTGCAAACACATATAAAAATGGCACTTGAGAAATACTAGAATATTCAAAATTAATATTACAGTCGCTTGTCAAAAAGTAATGACGATAAGAACTTGTTTTTTGTTAGTGATGTTATGGCCCGTTTCGGAACTGTCACGTTAGAATAATTTCTTGGCACCAATAAAGTGCACAATTTATGTGCTAACATCGAAAAAATCTGTGACAATCTTGACCTGTTCTCAGAATGCAGAATGATCAAATTCCAGAACTGTAATATCATAATTAGTACATTTGTTTACTATGCCACATTGGACGTTAAAATAGTAATTTAAAATATAAAAAACAAATACGAGCTTAAAACTTGTTTCGTGTTTACTTTCTTTCTAATGACGCCCACATCTATTAAAACAAACCGTGAAATTGTCGTTTTGGCAAAAGAACGTTCGTAATAAAAAATCTCTGGTAGTTCTTTGCGTTTCTGTAAAAATTATGTTGGTTTTGTTTTACAAAATTTCTGATATTCATCGACCCTGGCCGTCCGCGAAAATTGTCCTCTGAAAAATGCCGCCATATCAGAATGATTGTTAAATACAATTACTTCATAATAGCTAAAGAATTGAAAACAAATTAGAAAATGTATGAACAAACTGTTTACCGTGACCTCAACAAATTAAGATTTTCCTCAGGTTCTTTCGTGAAGAGTTTGGTTTTCTGATACAATACTATCCGCGCATAGTTACGTAAAACAACAACAGGTAAACATTCTTTCAAAGCTCAGGTTTCGATATAATCAACGTCAAAGGAAAGATTGGTATCCATACGTCACTTGTATCGTGAAATTCAACAATGCGTTCGTATGATAAGGCACAAACTTGTCGTTGGGTCACGCTGGGGTTTTCAGCAAGATAATGTCCCAAAACACACTTTCTATGACTTTTAAAGTGACTTAAAATTCGGCTTCCGCGCGTTTTCCAGCCCAGATCTTAATCCGATTGGCTGTGGCACAAAGGAAAGAAGATTTCTCAAGTCATTTTTTATTTGTAGACATAATTATAGGAGAAACAGGATGGTCTCGAAAAAGACGTAGCATAAAGTCGGATTCAGACATGTATTGAAGCTGAAGGAGGCAGCACTAAATATTAAATAATTAGTAAAGTTTGTAGCTAATAATTCTTGGTGCTATTTAAATAAATTAATACGGGAGAGATGACCTTGAGAATTGGAAAAGCTTTATATTTGATTTCTGTTATTAAGGATTTCTGACTCACGCAGCTAATACAAGCTTGTCAATAATAACCTGCCTGCATGTAATGTGAATTAGCCTATGTCGCGTCTTTTAATTATTCTTAAGTACTAGAAGGGGAAAGTGGTTTCAATTAGCATTGACTACGATTCTAGTTAAGAGTTTCATAATCCTTGGCAGGTTTATTTATTAACTGACTACTATCAATATGCTCTTTAGACCTACATACAGATCCAAGCACCCCTTGGATCTCTATACAAAAAATATATTTACTCATTAAAACTGCAATAGATAGATACACCCCCTTCATAATAACAAGCAATCCGCCTTTTCTGGGCTTTTATTCTCTTAATTTACTAGTAAAACATAAAAACAGCTTAAATTGGGCTTAGCGAGCACCTCGTTGTGAATAAAAGTTCCTCGCGATAGGTACTAGTAAAACGACTTGTGACGTCACAGTTCACTTTGTTGCACGACCGAAATGTGTGACAGGTATGCCGAAAATGGTGGCGTGACCGTCAATTGATCTGACTGACTCTACTTCATCAACGGCCAATGTTTGCTTAAATAAGCATAATACTTTCCTTTGTCGTGTTGATATCATAATGAATGATATACTACTTCCTCAATTCTTTTACCCATGCGCGCCGTGTCTCTAAAATCAAAGTTTTTAAGTTATACGTCTTTATCTGAATCGAATTAAAATACTTCGCGTCACATACTCCAATGTTTTTTAAAAGGGAGTTGAACTTTGATGGTGTATTGTTAGTATTGTTATTTACAGACTAATTTTGTTAGTTAATTTTATTATTATTTAATTTATGACAGTTTTACGTAGTTAATCGTTAATGTTACCGCTATTATAGAGGGGGGTCTTTTATATATTTTTTAAATTTGTGCTTAATGTTTTATTATATGTTATTCTTCATACGCAGGTCTTTTCCTGGAGCCTTTTACCAGACATTTTGAAACCAATTCTTCCTCGTGATTATACTTATTTAATACAAAGATTCGATATTCTATCGTCATACCGAACGCAAGAAAACTTTGAAGTTGAAAATTTCGAGTTAGACATATTCGTAAATGTATGTAACGAAGAAAAAGCATCCGAATGGTTTGCAGTATTTGAATCCTATTCAAAGACTACAATACCACAAACAAGAGGTTTTAAAATAACGGGAAACAATTACGCCATTGTATCCATAACCATCAAGTTAGGAAAAAACAAAGAAATCGTATAAAAAAACGTCTGCATTCGCCTCGGGAACGTGATATCAATTGTACTGCAAGCATTCATCTTCGATTGGAACGCCAGAAACTTACACATAGTTATCCGTTAGAAATTAATATTAAGTTTACGCGCAACCATGTAATTAATTCAGCGGAATTACTCAGTCAAAAGCGAAGTACTTGTCGAATTATTCAAAGACGGACATTCGCCTGCCTCCGCGTTGTGTGCTTATGAAGATGAACTTATTTTAATACTACGAACGATCAAAAAATGTTGGAATGCTTTCCGATCGAGCATTCAATCCGGACTATGATACTGTTCTCCGTCTTTTTCGACAATACCGTGAGACTGCACTTGGCAGTCGTAATGGAAAATCGATGTTTGAGCGAATGGTCGAAGAATACAACAATTCAGGTCGGGTAACAAGAATTTGACGCCACAACCGGAAAGGCATTTATACTTTGTATTGTAACAGGTCTTATGCAGCGAGTGCATGAGAAAGTTCCACAAGCACGCGAGCTGTGTTATATGGACGCTTCGGCTTCATTCGAACACCTTAACATGTCGATTACCCTCCTCTATACTAGCTGCGCGGTCGGTGCCCTTCCGCTCGGACTATTTATTACTTCAGACGAACTCGAAATCACATTAGAAAGGGCGATAAATTTATTGAAAACGATTCTTCCTGGATATGCCTTTTTCGGACGTGGTCCACAAGTAGGTCCGATTATTTCCTCATGGACGATTCAAGGGCTGAACGTAATGCTCTGGAAATGTGTTGGCCACAAAGTGTGTATATTCTTTTTCTAAAATACAATAACAACTTGTTAATAAATTTCCGAATTATTTTATAATAAATTAAGTTGAATTCAAATTCGATGAATTAAGTTCTCAGCAAATTTTATAGTCCTTATATTTATTTCTTTGTTCTTTATCTAATCGCTTACCCTTTTTGGATTGGAACTACAACGCAGGGATCCGTCTTCTATGACGTTTCACATTCTTCAATCGTTTTGGAGATGGCTCCATGATTTGAACACAATATTAAGAAATTCTTATTATAGTTATCCACTTCTACGAAAACATTTCGGATATTTGTGGGAGCGCCGTCAATTTTGGGCACTATCTTTTCGAGTTGGATTACCTATGCGCGGAAATAACACAAACAACTATGTCGAACGAGGTTTTGGAATTTTAAAAGATATAATTTTCGCGAGGACGCAAGCATATAATATAGTACAAGTATTTCAGTTTGTAGTAACAAATATGGAGAGATTTTATGAGCGGCGGCTGCTTGGAATTGCACATAAACATCCTGGACACTTACGCATTGCAAAACGGTTTTTGTGCCCTGGTTGGGAAGAAGTGAATGTGAATTCTATTAAAGAAACAGGCATAAGAAATGAATTTTCAGTTCTTGGTACGAGGGAAGATAACCTTTTTTATATTGTGAACAGTGAATTGGGAACGTGTACTTGTCCTGTTGGCATATCTGAAGCACCCTGCAAACATCAGGGAGTAGTCGCAATATCATATTGCAAGATTTAATTCAACACTTGAAGATCGTATGGGTATATGCCTACATTGCACTTGGTGAGATTGACACACTACCTTTATTTCTTTCTATGCATCATTACGAGCCCCCCTAACAATTTTCTTGACAAAAATATTGAGCGGAGGTATTAAAATTTTCATAATTTTGTAAAGTTTGCTTGAAAAACAATTTTAAAATATTTTAACTTTTCTAGGGTAACCAATAAAGAAAGCACTGGAATCAATTGCTACATAGTGAAAGCAGATTATCAAAATGCTGGCCCTCAATTAGGCGCTGCACTAGACAAATTTGCAGAGCGATATCGTTCAGCAAAATCAAAATCGATTCCTCGACTTATTTCCTATTTCTATGACCTTAATCGTGAATTAGACCCAACAGTCCGTGTTAAAAGTGGTTCCATGATCCGTGTTCAGGTTGAATCCATTAAAAGACGAAAGGCTGAAGGTGCTGGTGGTAGAAAGAGAAAGTTACCCACTCTTGTCAGTGAAGAAAAGGAAATTTTGGATCCTCATGTTATTCCTGCACGAAAGAAAAAACGACGGCTAAAAAAGGTCATCATTTAAGCATGAATATAGTGAAGAATCAACCAAATTAAAGGTATCTGAGCTTAGCAGTATTTAACGTAACGTTTATTTAACGTGACGTTTATATATCATAGCATTTGCCTAGCTTTTGTTATTTCTTTCAATACAAATGGTATAAATCGTATGCAAATCATATAATGGATGATAATTCGAAAGGTTATTTCTAGCATTTTTTCGTGTTTCAAATAAGTAAATCAGGGAAAGACAATTCACAGCCCCTAAACGAAAATTTTGGGAGACAGTTTTGTTGCAGCACGCCCCATATATTTCACGACGAGGATATCTGATCAACGCATTTTCATTATCCAATCAAAAGTTTTTTTCAACAACATAAAGGGCAAATCACATCTCAAGATTTTTTTCCTCCCCCTCTCAATCTCTCATATTTCACAGGTATGACTGAACTTACAGTAAACGTAGCTGTAAATAGAAACAACCATAATAAGAATTGGCAATATGTGTAGTTAAAGTAATAGAAAATGAGAGCCAAGTGGAAGAAAAAAAGAACCAGAAGACTTAAACGCAAGAGAAGAAAGATGCGCGCTAGGTCAAAGGTAAATTCAAGTGAATGTATTCATACTTGAGCTTACAACCAACGTTTTAACAACTTTTGCTGATTGTATACTTTTGTTCTATACAGTAAAATCCCCTACCAAGTGCTTTCATCCTCCACGGGAATGGCCTATATCGATATAACTCTGGGCATTCATTTTAAACAAGTCCCGGATCTTGCGATTTTGTAAAAAGAAAGCACAGTCAATCATTATGCTGCTCAGAGCATGAACTTAATAAAGAATGTTAAGCATAATGCGATTATTACGCACGAACAAGTTACAATTGCGTATTTACATTGACGAGTTTTTGTGACGTCGGATAAACCCTCCCATCATAACTACGGGACATTCTTTTCACATTTTATACATCGAATCGATTCTCCTAATATAATCATATTATTTTATAAGCAGTACGACTTCATTCTTCTATATTTTTAACTAACCACAATTTCGTCTCATTTTCCC